CTTTCTTTCTTTCTTTCTTTCTTTCTTTCTTTCTTTCTTTCTTTCTTCCCCTCCCTCCCTCTCTCCCTCCCTCCCTCCCTTCCTTCCTTCCTTTCTCTTTCCTTCTCTCTTTCTCACAGGGTTTCTCTGTGTAGCCCTGGAACTCTGTAGACCAGGCTGGCCTCAGACTCACAGAGCTCCACCTGCCTCTGCTTCCCAAGTGCTGGGATTAAAGGTGCGCGCCACCACCACCGCCCAGCTGGAATTGGTTTAAGTCACAAAGTCATGCAAGTGGCTGATTTGCAATAGGAACTAGCATCGCCCTGAGGGTTCCAAGATGCACACCGATTGCAGCACGCGCACGCACACGCACACGCACACGCACACGCACACACACACACACACACACACACACACACACACACACACACTGCTTCTGTCAGGAAGGCGGTCCGCGGGGTGGGGCCTGCTGGACGGGGCGGTCTCTGATGAAGGAAATACCAACCTGCTGCTGCTGGAGCCCAGAACCGCGCCGCGCGCCCTAGGTCCGAGTCTGGCCATGCAGGCAGAGCCGCCGCTCTACCCTGTGGCCGGGGCCGCCGGGCCTCACGGGGATGAAGACCGCCTCGGGGTTCCTGACGGGCCAGAGGCTCCGGTGAGCAGGGCGGGGAACGCCAGGCCCGCCGCCTCGCGGGGCACCTGGATGGGGACGGGCCCTGGGGTGAGGGACGGCGCTCCAGCCGGGAGGTGCACACACCGGGATAAGACTGTCGGTGGAACCCGGCGGGCGTGAGGAGCTCGGATCTCGAGAAGAGGGCCCGGGCCCCCGGGACGGTGGGCTGACCCCCCGAGGGGGGAACCCGGGCTCCTGGAGGCGGACGGGGGCGGGGCGGGAGGAGCGGGGCGTCGGGGCGTGATGAGTGCTCGGCCCGCAGCTGGACGAGCTAGTGGGCGCGTACCCCAACTACAACGAGGAGGAGGAGGAGCGCCGCTACTACCGCCGCAAGCGCCTCGGCGTGGTCAAGAACGTGCTGGCGGCCAGCGCGGGGGGCACGCTCACCTACGGCGTCTACCTGGGTAGGGCGGACCCACGGACCCCAGCGTCCACCCCACCACTCCCGGGCCCGGGAAAGAGAAACCTTGCGGCCGGCTGGCCTCCTTCCCCTTTCACTTCCCGGGTCACAGCTGCCCGGGGCGCGCGCTCCCGGCGGGGGTGGGGTGGGGTCTCGCAGACCAGGTGCGCGTGGGTGGGGGTGCTGGGCTGCCCTCCCTCCCCGCTGACCCGGCGCCCTGCCAGCCTTGCCCGCGGGCCCCTGCTTGCTTCCAGCCTGGCTGCTTAGAGCCCTCCTCGATGCCCTCTGCCCCACCCCCACCCCCAGGCCTCCTGCAGATGCAGCTGATCCTGCACTACGACGAGACGTACAGGGAGGTGAAGTACGGCAACATGGGGCTGCCGGACATCGACAGCAAGATGCTGATGGGCATCAACGTGACGCCCATCGCCGCCCTGCTCTACACACCCGTGCTCATCAGGTGCCAGGCTGCCGACCTTGCTGCAGAGGCCGCTGCACCTCGAGGCCACCGGCCGCCCTGGGGTTTTGGAGGGAGGGGGCAGGGCTCTGCAGAGAGGCCTTAGCTTGCCTGGGAGAGTAAGAAGGAAAAGGGGAAATCCTCCCTGCTAGGGGAGGAACCAAGAGTCTCCCCCTTCCCCCCCCCCACCCTCCGCTCCCCACGCCAGTCCCCGCCCGCCCGGCTGCACATTTGGTTTCATGCAGGCTCTGGCTTGGTGACATCCTTCTACCGGCCACACTGTGACTTCCTGGGCTGGAGCTGTGAAACCCCCAGTCCAGTGAGCTGGGACTGTGCTGAGAGGCAGCTCTCACAGAAAGGCTTTAGCAAGGCGGAGGCTCAGAAACCCCTCCATGGCCCGCTGAGCCTCCTGAAAGGGTGGATAGGGTGAATAGGTTCTAGTCCTACTTTTTTTTTTTTTTTTAAGGCAAAGTCTCATTATGTAGCTTTGGCTGGCCTGGAACTCACTTTGTAGACCAGGCTAGCCTCAAGCTTGTGGCGTGCCTACTGCCATTGACTTCCAAGAGTCCCCGGGCATAGGGATTACAGATGTGCTCACTATCCAGGCTTCCCTGCCATCATTTTGAAATTAAATAAAAGCTGTTCTGTCGGCAAGTGTGGTGGGCCACACCTTTAGTCCCAGCATTGAGGAGGCAGAGGCAGGCAGCTCTCTGAGAGTTTGAGGCCAGCCTAGTATACCAAGTGAGTGCCAGAGCTACACAGAGAAACCCTGTCTGTCTCAAAAAACAACAACCCAAAACGAACAGCCAAATATGTTTCCTAGCTAAGTTCTCCACAGTGCCTTCCCCAGGCCTAAGGTTTTCTGGCTCTTTGCTTGCATTCTTTTTTTTTTTTTTTTTTAAGACTTATTTATTTTATTATGTATACAATGTTTTGCCTGCGTGTACACCTGAACGACAGAAGAGAGCACCAGATTTCACTACAGATGGTTACAGATGGTTATGAGCCACCATGTGGTTGCTAGGAATTGAACTCAGGTCCTCTGGAAGAGGAAGCAGTGCCCTTAACCTCTGAGCCATCTCTCCAGCCCCCTTTGCTTGCATTCTTGGAAGCAGGGTGTCTTCGTGAGGATTTCTGCTGCTGTGATAAAACAGTGACCAAATGGAACTTGGGCAAGAAGGGTTTATTTCATGTTATAGCTTGTCATCTGCCACCCAGGCAAGTCAGAGGGTAAGAACTGAAGCAGGCAGGAACGTGGAGGCAGGAGCCGATGCAGAGGCCATGGAAGAGTGCTGCTGATTGCTTTGCTCATGGCTAGCTGATCCTGCCTTCCTATGGAATCCAGGACCATCAGCCCAGGGATGGCACCATAGTGGGCTGGGCCCTCCCACATGGAGAAGCAATCCAGAAAATGTTAGGGGCATTTCTCCACTGAGATTCCTGCTTCCCAAATGACTCTCGTTCTCGTGTCAACTTGATGTACAAATAGCCTGCGCACAGGGTCTCACCCAGCAGCGCCAGCTGACTTCAGAACGCTCCTGGGTTAGCCTCCCGAGTGCTGGGACTACTGGCCTGTGTTACCGTCCTGGCTGGCTTCCTACCTCTGGCAACTTAGCACCTCAGATGATACCAGTAAACCTTTATTTTGTTCCCTCGTACAGCCAGGGTGGCTGCTCTTACTTCAGTCTTTCAGTTTCTACAGGGGGGAGGGTGGTAGCCAGCAGGTTTTGAGACCTGGCTGAAACCCATATGCTTGCTTCCTAGTAATCCAACATGGCACTCTTTCTCTCTTAAGATTTATTTAGTTAGTTATTATGTATATAGCGCTCTGCGGCATGTGTGCCTACACTCCAGAAGAGGGCGCCAGATCTCATTATAGATGATTAGGAGCCACCATGTGGCTGCTGGGAATGGAACTCAGGCCCTTTGGAAGAGCAGATGGTGAACCTTTTTCAAAAGGCCATGTAGTCTCATCCACTCGCTGCGCATGCCTTTTTTCTTTTCCCTTTTTATGTGTTGGTGATTGGACCCAGGGCATTATGCATTCTAGACAAGTGCTTCATCACTGGGCTGTGGCATGAACCCTAATGTGTGTGTCACATACTGGCTTCATTTACTTATAGACAGGGTCCCGTATATCCTAGGCTGCCTTTAAGGACCCAGTTTCAATTCCCAGCACCCACCTGGTGACTCACAGCTGGCTGTAACTCGAGTTTCAAGGGATCTAGCACCCCTCCTGGATTCCAGAGGCATCAGACACACACAGGGCCAGGCTGGGCTATGTGAGGCCTTGAACTCTTTACTCTCTTGGCTCAACTTCACAGTGCTGGCATGCAGGCCCTGTGTACGCTGTGCAGGCGCTGTACCCACCAGCTCTGGCCCCATGCCCTGCGCGTCTTTTCTTAAGGATTAACAAGCTACTCGGCCAGGTTTGGTAACACGTGTGTTTATTCCAGTGACGGAGGCAGAGGCAGGTGGAGCCCTAAGGGTTCAGCCTGATCTACCTACCATGCTCCAGGCCAAGCTCCATAATGAGACCCTGTCTCAAAGGAAAAAAATTTAAAAAAAAAGGATTAGCCAGATATTTGTGTGTATATACATGTGTGTACGTGTGATACTGGCTTTCTTAACCTATCGTTATTTTGATGAACATTTGTCTTTTTTTAAAAAAATTATTAAATTTTATTTTATGTGTATTAGTGTGAAGGTGTCAGATTCCTTGGAATTGGCGTTACAGACAGTTGTGAGCTGGCATGTGGGTTCTGGGAATTGAACCCGAGTCTTTTGGAAGGGCAGACAGTGTTCTTAACCACTGAGCCATCTCTCCAGCCCTTGTCTTTTTATCTTATTTTTACGTGTGTGAATGTTTTACCGGCCTGTACCATGTGTGCGCTTTGTGCCTCAGAAGAGGTGTATGACCCCCTGTTTTGTTTTTGAGACAGGGTCTCATACTGGGCCCCCAGGCTCGTCACTTCGCCTGGGCTTCCTGCCCAGTGAGCCCCCAGGGATCTGCCTCTCTCCACTTCCCAATGCTGGGATTACAAGTGCACCTGGCTGTTCACACTGGTGTTGGGGGTACAACATGGGTCCCCATGCCTGTGCAGCAAGCGCTTTACTGTGGGCGCGATCTTCCCGGGTCAGTCCCTTTGTCCTGTATCCTCGCAATGACAGGCCTCTCACAGGGAGAGGCCTGGGCCAGGCCCCCGCTGTGAGCACAGGCGACTCTGCCCGTTGGTGTCTCTGAAACTGTGTCTTTGAGCCCCTGCCTTCCAGGCTAAGTCTTCTCCTGACTCCCCACAGCCGTAGGAACTGGGATCTGCGGCCCTGAAGGGACCTCAGCAGTCCCTGCCTGGCTTGTGGTGCTAACGTCCCTCTCTCTCTGTACAGGTTTTTCGGTACCAAGTGGGTGATGTTCCTAGCTGTGGGCATCTACGCCCTCTTTGTGTCTACCAACTACTGGGAACGCTACTACACGCTGGTGCCCTCTGCCGTGGCTCTGGGCATGGCCATTGTGCCTCTCTGGGCCTCCATGGGCAACTATATCACCAGGTAAGCCTGGCGGGTGATGGAGCAGATGCTGGAGAACCAGCCGGATATTTACCTCTCTGCTGACTTTAGCCAGGGGATCCCAGGCAAGCTTTTTACTTTGCTGGGCCTCAGTTTCCCCACTGAGACTGGCTAGCCTATAGCTCTAGTTGCAGGAAGAAGGGTGGCGGAGGGCAGGCTGGGGAAAGCCCTCACTTTCTGTGCCCCAGGATGTCCCAGAAGTACTATGAATACTCCCACTATAAGGAGCAGGAGGAGCAGCGGCCCCAGCAGCGGCCCCCACGCGGCTCCCACGCGCCCTACCTCCTGGTCTTCCAGGTCATCTTCTATAGCTTCTTTCATGTGAGTGCTACAGGAAAACCCTTGGGGGGGCTATTCTGGATTCCACACATTGTAGCCTAGTCCACTGTCTTCTCCACCCTCCTGAGCCAAACCGTGGAGATGGAGACCTCCTCCCTGTCCATGGCGACCATGGGGTGACATGAACACCCCGTCACCACTACTGGGCTGTCCCTAGGGGGTGGGAGAGCTTCCTTTCCCCCACCGGAGGCCACAGCCAGACTCCTGTCCAGATCTCACCTCCTGTTTGGTTCTATCCCCGGGCCCTGATCCCGGCTGCCTTCCTGCCCACAGTTGAGCTTTGCATGTGCCCAGCTGCCCATGATTTACTTCCTCAACCACTACCTGTATGACCTGAACCACACTCTCTCCAACGTCCATAGCTGCGGTCAGTCTGGGGGAGGGGCGGGACCTCCCAAGCCCACTTCCCTCTCACCTTCGGTCATCCAGCAGACCCTAGGCCCCCCTTAAGCTTTCAGGGCTGCATGCACGGAGGTGGGAGGTGGATGGTGGCCCCAAAGGAGCTCGCCGGAGGAATCCTTACCTGCCCCGGCACCCCCAGCCTCTGCTGTGGCCTGGCTGCAGTGAGTCCTAGTCCTGTTCCCACCGGTCCCTCCCAGGCACTAACAGCCATGGCATCCTGACCGGCTTCAACAAGACGGTTCTGCGGACGCTGCCGGGCAGCCGAAACCTCATTGTTGTAGAGAGCGTGCTCATGGCGGTGGCCTTCTTGGCCATGCTGCTGGTGAGGCTCGGGTTGGCAGGGAGACGGTGGGGGGAGCGCTTGTATGTGGGCTAGTCCGGGTTGCAGGCACCTAAGAATCAGGAGAGCTCTGGGTGCAGGACCGGTGCCTGTAGATTAGAGCTGAAATTGGGATCCCAAGGCCAGAGGAAAAAGGACATAGAGGCGAACATGGCTCATAGGGGTGGCTGTGGTCTTTGAGGGGACTGGGAACACCACCCAGGACCGTGGGCTGGCAAGTGTGGCTCAGGACTGAGGGCAGTACCGGAAGGCAGAGCTAAAGCTCGGAGGGACCAGAGCAGGGAGGTGTGATTTTAGGTCAAGAGGCCGGGCTAAGGGTGTGCAGAAAGCAGGGCGGGGCCTCCGGCTGTGTCTGGCTGGAGCCTTGCGGATGTGCCACACTTCGGCTGAGGTTTGTAGGTGTATTTGGGGGCGGGGAGGTGGGGGAGCAGGTGAGGCCCCAGGACTGCAGCCCTTTTCTTTTTCTTTTGTTTTGGTTTTTGAGACAGGATCTCCCTTTGTAGCCCTGGCTGGAACTCGCTTTGTAGACCAGGCTGGCCTAGATCCTCCTGCCTCTGCCGCACCCGGATTGTCGCCCTGTGCAGCCCTGTGGGCGTGTCTGGGGCGGAGTCTCGGGCTGACACCTGTGGGCGTGTCCGGGGCGGGTGCCTGGCCGCTGATCCTTTCACGGCTCCCGTCGGCAGGTGCTGGGCCTGTGTGGAGCGGCCTACCGGCCCTCGGAGGAGATCGACCTGCGCAGCGTGGGCTGGGGCAACATCTTCCAGCTGCCGTTCAAACACGTGCGTGACTTCCGCTTACGCCACCTGGTGCCCTTCTTCATCTACAGCGGCTTTGAGGTGCTCTTCGCCTGCACTGGCATCGCCCTGGTAAGTGCCGACCGTGAATTTCAGATGCACAGCATATTCGGGATACATGCGCAAGTGTGTATCCCCGAATTATCCCCCTCCCTCTTTCTCCTCCCTCTCTCGTCCCTGTCGCCTTTCATACCCTGAACAAATCATTTTCCACTTTCTGTAGTTAGAATGGTGATGCTCCCGCCCTTTCTACCAGCCTTAGAGGGAGTTAGCACCAGGAGACCCAGAGAGGACAAGGTGGGCCTCTGGTTTGGGAAGGTCCCGGATCAACCGGCCTCCTCTCGCTCTCCTCCTCAGGGCTACGGCGTGTGTTCTGTGGGGCTGGAGCGGCTGGGCTACCTGCTCATAGATTACAGCCTGGGTGCCTCAGCCGCCTCGGTCCTGGGGCTACTAGGACTGTGGCTGCCTCGCTCCGTGCCCCTCTTGGCTGGGGCAGGGCTGCACCTGCTGCTCACCCTTGGCCTCTTTTTCTGGGCCCCAGCGCCTCGGGTCCTCCAGCACAACTGGGTCCTTTACTTCGTGGCTGCCCTCTGGGGTGTGGGCAGTGCCCTCAACAAGACCGGACTTAGCAGTGAGTACAGCCTTAGGGACTGGCATGCCTGGGGGGCGGGGGGAGGAAGGGAGGGGCGGCCAGTGGCCACCTCTAGGAAGTTAGGGACTACCTAGTAGTCCCATGGGTTACTTTTCCAGGCTTCTGTGGAGGTTACTTGGCGTAGCCTGGGGTGGAAAGGATTCTGTGGACACTGTGGAGATGGTTAGGGAAGTCCAGTGGACACTCTGGAAGGGTGTAGGAGTTCCGTGCCATGGCAGGCATCACTGAGGGGCATACGTGTGGAATATTGTGGATACACAGAGTGGGTGAGGGCTCAGTGAAGAGACCTGGGCACAGGACATAGAAAAACACACCAGCAGCCAAGGACTGTGTTGGCATAATTTTGGTGCCACAGGAAGCAGATCCCAAGTGTCCAGGGCCCAGGGAGGGGAAGAGCAGGTGTTTGTCCAAACTCCGGGGGTTTGGGTAGAGAACTAGACTCTTTCTTCTCTGTTTTTCTTGGGGCTCACTATTTAGCCTCGACTGGTGTGGCATTCACCATACAGATCCCAGACTGGCCTTGAACCCATAGAAATTCACATGTTTTTACCTCCCCGGTGCTAGAATCAAAGGCGTGGGCCACCACACTCAGCCTTTGCCTTCTTCGCCTTCTTCTTCAATCTTTTTTTTTTTTTTTTTTTTTTTGAGACAAGGCCTTTCACTGTAGCCCAGGCTAGCTACACAGCTTGCTTTGTAGCTCAGACTGGCTTCAAACTTACAGTAGTTTGATGATTTTTTTTTTTTTAAGACAGGATTTTCTGTGTAGCCCCGACTGTCCTGGAACAAGCTGGGTAAAGCAGGCTGGCCTGGAACTCAGAGATCTGCCTGCCTTTGCCTCCCAAGAGTTAAAATGTATTATTTAGAATGAAGTGTGTGAGTGTGGGAGGGCAAAATTCAGAGGACAGTTCTCTCCTACCTCGGGAGTCCTGGGGATTGAACACAGATTGGTTAAGCTTTGTGGAAGATACATGTTGCTCTTTTTTTTTTTTTTTAAGCATGGCCTTGTTGTATAGCCTTGGTTGGCCTGGAACTTGCTGTGTAGACCAGGCTGGCCTCAAACTCATAACGACAAGCCTACTTCAGTCTCCCCAGTTCTGGGACTAGGGGTCTGTGCTGACACAGCTGGATGGACTTTTTGTTTTGTTTTGTTTTTGAGGATCCAGGCATCTAAACCCAACTTTCCCAGCCTCAGATCCATGCCCAGATCTGGGCTGCTGAGAAGAGCAGCTACCGCAGGCCAGGCTTCCACTGTGGGGGGCTCTCTGGGTGTGTCGGTGACACGCAGCTCGCCTACGAGACGAGAGCGCAGCCTCGAGGCCATTCCTCAGGAAACCAGCCCCCGCCCACTCCATTCGAGGCTTGACGTGTGGAAAGCTGATAGCTGAAAGGAGTTCTGTGGGGAAACAGTGACTGGGCGCTTGGTACATTGAGTCCTGGGGTCAGTGTAGGCTGTAGGCGCATCTTGACAGTGTAGTAACCAAAGTATCCACAAGGGGGCAGGCAAGGATCGCCACACAACTTTCGTAGCTGCTCCTGGCCATGAGCTGGACCTGGTACAGGGTCTCTTAGCAGTCTTGTCCCTTCTGCCTGCAGCGCTCCTGGGCATCCTGTATGAAGACAAAGAGAGGCAGGACTTCATCTTCACTATCTATCACTGGTGGCAGGCCGTGGCCATCTTTGTTGTGTACCTGGGCTCCAGCCTGCCCATGAAGGTGAGGATGGGTGGACTCTGGGTGGCCTCCCTGGGAAGCAGGCTCTCAGACAGGACCCTTTACTCCATAGGGTACACCCTAACCCGGCACCCCACTTACTGCTTTACCTGCTAGCCTTGGTCCCTGTGGGCATACCCAGCTGAACTGTGGCTTGTTCTGCTCGGCAGCTTCTAGGCCCCTGGACACCCAGGGTCTCTTGTTTCAGACCCTGTAGGAATGAGCTCCTCCATCTTTATGTTGTTTGGAGACAGGGCCACACTATGTAGCCCTGGCTGTCCTGGAACTCACGATGTAGTCCAGGCTGGCCTTGAACTCACAGACAACTGCCTGCCTCTGCCTCTCAATTTCTGCGATTAAAGGCATGCGCCACTATACTGGTCTTGTTTTGTTTTTAAGACAAGGTCTCACTAGGTAGCCCAGGAACTCACTGTGTAGACCTGGCTGGCCTTGAACTCACAAGAGAGTCCCCTGCTTCTGCCTCCTGAGTGCTGGGGTCAGAGGCAGGTGCCACCACGCCGCCGTCTTTTTTGCTTCCAGCTGTGCTGGAGATGGGCCCCAGGACCCATTCTTGCTACCCATCGACTGTACCTGAAGCTTCTGGTCTGCTCCCAACCCCAGCACATCATTTTAACGGGTCCTTGTCACATGTTTTTGTCCCGTTTGTCTGTGTCTTTGGATCAGGGCCTCAAAGGTAGCCAAGTTCGACCACAGCCTTTTGTGGGCTGATATGACAGGCAGGCTCTAACAGACTTGGCTTTGTGCAACCTTTTTTAGAAAGTGAAATGAATTGAAGTAGCAAAGAATTGGAATACAGATGCAAATGTATTTGTATACATATACAAATACATACACATTTATATACATATGCAAATATATATACACACATATATACATATATGTATATGCATACATACATAGTCTCAAAATGTAGCCCTAGCTGGCCTTGAACTCTTAGACCACTTAGACTTCCCAAGTGACGGGATTATAGGCCTATGCCTCTCTGCTCACCTGTGTCCTATTGTGTTTAGGGCCAGGGGATAATTCACCTGTGGTCGGGGAAGCCAGGCCTGCTTTTAGACTTTCTCAGACCTTCCCGTTTTATCTGAGACAAAGGGATTAGCCCCCTTTTCCTTGTGAAACTGAGTCCTGCTAGAACATGGTGACTTTAAAGTCAGTGTGGGGATTTGAACCCTGGCCCCAGGAGCTGCCTTGGAAATCCTGGGCGAGGGGGCTGCTGGAGGGAAGAGCCAGGAGGCTCCCGGTGGAGGAGGAAGGTCCCAGGAGAAATGGAGTGTTCCTCCTTTCCCTCGATCCAGGCCAAGCTAGCAGTGTTGCTGGTAACCCTGCTGACGGCAGTCATCTCCTACCTGTCGATGGAACAGAAGCTGCAGCAAGGGCTGCTCCCGAGACAGCCACGCATCCCGAAGCCACAGCACAAAGTGCGCGGCTACCGCTACCTGGAGGAGGACAACTCAGACGAGAGTGAAGCGGAGGCTGAGCAGGGTCAGGGGGACTGTACAGAGGAGGACGCACCGAAGGGGGGCTCCCTCGGTGAGGAGCCGGCTGGTTCCTGCCGCAGGCCCTGTCCCTACGAACAGGCTCTGGGTGGTGATGGGCCTGAGGAGCAGTAAGGGGCCCGGGGAGGCTAGCCTGACCCTCAGACTCAGCTTTCCAGCTTCGCAGCCCCAGCTTACTGTGTCTCAGGTGTACTGAGTCATGCACCATCGGCCAGAGGACATTCTTTCCCCTCCCGGGGCCTGGGGTCACCTGGAACTTCTTCCGGGGAGATGAGGGTCACCCCCAGGACCCCTAGAGGTAGGGGTGCCTCTACCTAACTCAGGGAGACCCCCTTCCTGCATGCCTCAGGCCACTCCCTGCCTCTTTTGTATGGTGTGACAGCTTTTGACTGGAGTTTGCATCTCCTGCCCACAGGTTCCCCCACTGCAGAGCAGGGGGCCTAATCGTTTTTGATAGGAAATAATAAAAGAGTTTTGTATTTCCTGGAGAGGGTCTAGGTTGTGTTTCTGTCAACCTGTTTGAGTTTCTCCCCACAGAGCAGCATCCTTAGCTGGCTGGTGGGAATGGTTCAGTCACCATGTAGAGGAAGCGTCTCCTCTTGGCCCCGTACAGACCCATGTCTTCTCCTGGAAGTATAGCCTAGTGGCTGCGCCCCACCTACCCAGGAGCAAGGGTCACAGAAACGGGTTGCAGGGACCTCAGCAGAGAAGCAGAGTCTGTCCTGAGCCCAGAGAACAGGACAGGTGCTGGAGGCTGCTCTCCTCCATGTGGCCTGTGCCAGCCCACCCGTCACCCACCCACCTCAACCCACAAGCCTGGCCTTTCCCCCCCTGTTGTGTATCTGCTCTTGCTGCTCAGGGGCTGCCTGGACAAACGTGGTCACTGCCCTTTTCTTTGACAGCCTCAGGCAGGATGCCCAGAAGCACAGAAGGGGACACGCCGCTGTGCCCTGTCCATGTCCCCTTCTTCACCCCCAGCACTTACTCCTTCAGAGGAGATTGAGAGCCATTGTGAAGAGCCCCCAGTGGCCCCGTGAGGACAGAAGAGCTGTGGGAGAGTCCTGGGGCCCCAGGCCTGTTCTGGCAGGCTCTAGGGCAGTGCCTTTTCCTCTCCTTAAAGAGGTGCACACCCGTAATCTCAGCACTCGGGGAGGCAGAGGCAGGCGTATCTCTGTGAGTTGGAGGCCAGCCTAGTCTCCAAAGCAAGTCTAGGACTTCCAAGGCTGTTACAGAGAGAAACAAAGAAACCCTGCTTCAAAAAGCAAAACAAACAAGCCAACCACCAACAAAGACTCCTGGCCCTTGGCTGAAGCCACACTCTGGCCCGATATAGCCCCACACCAAGCTCTCCCGGGTCCTCCTGCCATGTCCCAGGCTTCCTTCCATCTCTCCTCCCCCCATCTCCTTAAGTTTCTAGCCATCCTTGGAGCCAGGCTCTGTGACCTTGGAAAGGGTCAGCCTTCGGAGCCCTAGGCTGCTTCTATGTGGACCGTGTCTGCATAGGAGAACAGTTCGACCCTCAGATGCCGGCAGATGCTGGAGGGAACTCTCAGAGGCACAGCTGGAGACTGTTCTATTTTTTTAAGTTTTGGGGGGACAGCAGACAGTCCCACTGTGCTGCAGGCAAGCAACCAGCCTGTGAATTTAGTCGGGGTGTGGTCTCCCAGTGCTCAGGGGAGCCTGAGGGACGAGGATCTGCTCACCCACAAAACAAGTGTGAAGCTGACTTGCACTGCGCTATGAAACTCTGTCCCCAAACAAACACCCAAAACAAACCGAGCCCACAGACACACTCCGTGGAGGCAGGTGTTGTGACATGCTGGTGGCAGGATTCTAGGAGAGTAAACACACTTATCCTGACACACCCAATCCTACTCACAGGGCGATGATGGTGCCCAGCCGAAATCACAGTATTCGGGAGGCTAAAGTGGAAGGATTGTGAGTGGGGTTTTGAGGTCAGCCTGGGCTACCTAGTGGGACTGTCACAAGAAAGAGAGAGAGAGAGAGAAAGAAAGAGGAGGAAGGAAGGAAGGAAGGAAGGAAGGAAGGAAGGAAGAAAGAAAGAAAGAAAGAAAGAAAGAAAGAAAGAAAGAAAGAAAGAAAGAAAGAAAGAAAAGACAAAGGGGGGAAGGAGGGAGGAAGATTTATTCAGATAAGACCAGTGTCATTAACTTTCTTTTTTTTTTTTTTTTAATTTTATTTTTCTTTTTAGTTACATTTTGTCAACTCTGTGTCCCAGCTGTATCCCACTCTGTCATTCCCTCCCCAACCCCACACTCCCTCCCTGCTCTCCTCCCTGCCCCTTTCCAAGTCCACTGATAGGGGAGGACCTCCTCCCCTTTCATTTGACCCTGTTTTATCAGGTATCTTCAGGGCTGGCTGCAAAGTCTTCCTCTGTGGCCTAACAGGACTGCTCCTCCCCTGGGGGGGTGGGGAGGTCAAAGAGCCTGCCCTTGAGATCCTGTTAGGAATAGTCCTTGTTCCCCTCACTTTGGAAAACTACTTGGTTACTGAGCTACCACAGGCCACATCCGAGCAGAAGTTCTAGGTTATATCCATAGATGGTCCTTGGTTGAGTGTCAGTCTCAGAAAAGACCCTGTGCCCGGATATATTTGGTCCTTGTAGAACTCCTATCCTTTCCATATCATACTAACTCCCCTTCTTTCATATGATTCCCTGCACTCTGCCAAGGTTTGGTTATGAGTCTTAGTGTCTGCTTTGAAACACTGCTAGGTAGAGTCTTTCTGATGCCTTTTGCGGTAGACTCCTGTCATTCGTTCAATGCACATCCCATTTGTCTTTCTAAATGAGGATTAATCATCTTCACCCGTGTCCACTTTCTTCATTATCTTTTTTAGGTGTCATTAACTTTCAAAGCTAGAGTGCATACCTATGTTTATTTAGTGCTAGTTTTGATATTTGGTTGTTTGTTTTTAAAAATTATTTTATGTGCATTGCTGTAAAAATGTCAGATTCCTTGGAATTGGCATTACAGACAGTTATGAGCTGCCATGTGGGTGCTGGGAATTGAACCTGGGTCCTTTGGAAGAGCAGACAGTGCTCTTAACCACTGAGCCATCTCTCTAGCCCTATTTGGTTTTTTTTCAAGACAGGGTTCCTCTGTGTAGCCTTAGCTGTCCTAGACTCGTTTTGTAGACCAGGCTGGTCCCAAACTCAGAGCGATCCACCTGCCTCTGCCTCTCTGAGTACTGGGATTAACTAATATTTATTACGATTTCGTTTATAAGTATTTATATATCTTTTTATCTTAAGCATTTTAAAGTATTTATGTGGGGTTCTGTGCAGGTGCGTGCAGTGCCTGTTGAGGCCAGAAGAAGGCACTAGACATACCCCCCACACCTAGAGCTGGAGTTAATGGGAAATTTGAGCTACCTGATGTAGATGCTGGGAACCGAACTCAGGTCCTCTAAAAGAACAGGAAATGGTCTTGACAAGGGAGCTGTCTCTACTACCCCAACCCTATTCTTTATATTTTAAACACCTAAGTATTGCATAAGGTGTAAAGGAAAAGGGAGGTTTCATGTATTTAAAATCTTAGGTTCTTTGTATAAAATTTGGCTTGGATACTTTTCCATGAGTATAGGATTCTAAAGTTCACTGGACATAATAGTTCCACGTGCTTTGATACATGCATCTCTTCCTTACAGTCTCATGGGTCCTGATAGGTGTCCTTGGATGCCTAGACACAAGGACTGAGATTTTGGCCAGCAAGATGATGTGTGAAGCCAGGTGTTGGGGTACACACCTTTAATCCCAGCACGAGGGAGGCAGAGGCAGGAGAATCTCCATGAGTTTGAGGCCAACCTGGTCCTGGTCTTCTACACGGTGAGTTTCAGGACTGCCAAGACTACATAAAGAGACTCTGACTTAAAACAACAACAAACACTCCTACCAAACACTGTTGCCATAGGGAAAGGTGGCTCTGCTGCTGCTGCTTCCTCCCCCTCCCCCTCTTCCTCCTCCTTCCCCTCCTTCCCCTCCTTCTCCTCTTCTTCTTCTTTCTTTCTTTATTTTTATTTTGAGCCAGAGTCTCTCTATGTGGCTCTGCCTGTTCTAGATCTCACCAGGCTGTCCCCAAATCCACAGAGATCCACCTGCCCCTGCCTCCCAGTGCTGGGATTTAAGTGATAGCTAGCTTCTTATGTCACAGCTTTGGTTACCATCTGCCTAGGGAGCCCACACCCTCAGCCACCATCTTACAAGGCTCCACATCTCAGCTTCATTTTGTTGGGTCTCTGGGCTGGGGACAATGGCACAGACCTTGATGACCTCCTCCATACCACAGGCCCCTGACCAGGAACAATGCTTCAAAGCTTCTAGAAGAACCTCTCCTGATTTCATCAGGACTTTGTAACTTCGGGAGACTGGTGCCTTGTTTTCTTTTCTCTCCAGATTCTATGGATAATGTTTTAGCTTCTTCTCTGTTGCTGTGATAAAATAGCCCGACAGAGACCACGTGAGGGAGAAAGGGTTTATTTTGGCTTATAGTCCCTAAGGCACTCAGTCCACCATGGTGGGCAGACATGGCAACAGGCAAGGAAAGCAAGGGGGCAGGAGCATGAAGCCGTCTGACCACACTGCACCCACACTCAGGAAGCTGCTCACTTTGGTAGCCTGACCGAGGTGAAGGCAGGTTCTTTTATTTGTAATCTTAATTACTAATATTAATTATACTTAATTACTACACTATGCTTAATTACTAATATTAATTCGTGTCACACAGGTAACTATAATCTACGTACATGTATATACATGAGTTTATGGATTAATAAAAGTTCAAGAGGAAGTGGGTTGGAGGGAATGCTAGCTAATGTGTTGATACCATGAGAGAAGGCCGGACGGGGTGGCAAATGACTGTAGTCCCAGCACTCAGGGGCAGAGACGGGCTGATCCCTGGGAATGTGGGCCCAGCCTGGTTTACCTAGCACCTTAGTTGGGGTTATGATTGTTGGAAGGAAAGGGTTTATTTGGCTTCGGCTTCCGCATCACTGTTCATCATCAAAGGCAGTCAGGACAGGGACTCAAGCAGGGCAGGAACCTGGAGGCAGGAGCTGATTCAACGACCATAGAAGGGTGCTGCTTACTGGCTTGCTCCCCGTGGCTTGTTCAGCTTTCTTATAGAACCACCAGCCCAAGGATGGCACCCACAATGGGTTGGATCAATCACTAATTAAGAAAATGCCCTATGGCTGAATCTTATGGAGGCATTTTCTCAACTGAGGTTCCCTCCTTTCCTCTAACTCTAGCTTGTGTCAAGTTGGCAAAACTAGCCAGTTCACTTAGTGAGTTCCAGGCCAGGCAGGGCCATACACCGAGACCCTGTCTTTAAAAATGAGAGATGTTATTGCTACGCAATCAGACCGTGGAAGAGTCAGCGCTGAGAGCACGGATGTAGCCAGCTTCAGAGACAGAGGCCCCCAAAGCAGGGTTGCCAGGTCCAAGGCTGATCAGACAGACAGTGTGAGGAGGCCAGTGAGTGGGTGGAGCCAAGCTGAAGCCCCAGGGCAGCTGGGAATTCTCCGTGGTCACTGCTGCTACACTCCCTGGGTGTCGGATGACTGGTTGGTGGGGCTGTCCCCTTGCTGTTGGGTCAAGTGTCTACCACCTTACGGGGTCCAGGCAAGGGAGTTCCACCCTTTCCTTGGTCTAGTTTGTGTGGTAAGTTCCTGGCCTTGTTTTAACTGGTACGATTTTGAACATGCCACATGTCCCCTACCGTTGAAATCCACCCTGATAAATGTATGGGGCAACAGCATTCCTACTTCCAGTAATAAATCATTATCAGTCTCGGTTCTGTGGGCGTGGTGCCAGGCAGTTGACGGTATCTGTGGGTTCACCCTGGTGAGCAGCCACACCCTCCACCCTCGATGGGGAGTGAGGAAGGGAGTAGAACGGAGTCTCCCAGCACCGCGCAGCTGAAAAGCCGGTCCACACGATACGACCTGACCAAGCTGCCTCATTTCAACCTGAGCCTGGAGAGGACATTTTATATTTAAACCACAAGAAACGGAGAAACCACCGAGGCACTGGGCTTTCCGGGGAGAGCTGAATTGGCGGCCGAGAAGGAAGCCTGAGATCTCTCACTGGACCCCTAGAAAGGATTGGAACAATCCATTTTGTTTGTTTCAAGATAGGGGTCTCATGTAGCCCAGGCTGGGCTGGAGCTCAAGGATGACCTTGACCGACTGATCTGACTGTCTTGCCCTCAAAAAACTGCTGAGATAACAGGTGTGTGCAAACAGACACAGTTTACAGTGGCATTATAGTTTTCAAATCTATCCAGAGCGCAAGGACCCCGAACCTGGTGAAAATGCAGATGCCAGGGCCCCTCGCTGGGAATTCCAAGGTGTGAGAGGCTAAAGGGTCCCAGAATCAACCTCCTGAGTCCTGGATAGGAGGCCAGGGGTCCAGGACGTGTGAGCACAACTGTTTCCCTCTCCACCAAGGAGGCTCCCTGACCTGGACACTCAGGAGCTTGTCCACCTTCTCTCCTCCCTCAGACATGGAACCATCCTCTCTCTCATGGCTCAGCAAAAACACCCCTGGACCTGTGCTCAGACGTTTCAAGGTTCTGGTGTCCAGCTGGGCTGTTCCAGGTGAGCACCAGCTTCCTGGTGGATGGTCTCCCTCCACCATGTCCTGTCCCCACCCAGGAAGATGGGGACAATGCCAGTAAGCTCTTTAAGGTCTATTCCTCTTTTTCTCTCTTTCTTTCTTTCCTTTTGTGTGTGTGTGTGTGTGCATTGAGGCCGGGGGAAATCTCAGCTGTCACTTTTCAGGAGCTGTCCACCTTGTTTTAGGACACAAGGGACTCCCACTGGACTGACATCACCAAGGCTGCCTGGTCAGTGAGCCCTGGGGACCCTTCTGCCTCTGCCCCACCTGTGCTCTGGGGTTAGCGGCATACAGAACCACAAAGCTTTTCCACGTGGATTCCGGTGCGAGAACCCAGCTCCTCAGGCTCACAAGTCAGGCAGTTTATCAGCAGAGGCTCTCCAGCCCTTTATCCTCCTTTTCTAACAAGGGCATCCATCAGATCCCGACAGCCCTGTCTTCATGATCGAATCTAGCTATCCCTGCAGGGAGCCACCCCCAAGTACTGTCACCCTGGGGCTTAGGCCTTCAGTATATAAACTTGGGGGGGCACTGTTTGGCTCATAGCCACTTGTCAGATCTCATGGGAGTGTCTGCTGACTGTTCGCCTATGTTAACACGACACAGCCACCTGGTGGTTGGTCACTTCATGCAGAAGCCCCCAGAGGAGAGCTAACCTGTCCCACCTCCCCACTCACCCCCCATGTTCACCCTGCAGTAATGTCTTGTCTCCTTAGTGCCTGGGGATACCCCACCTCACCCCACCGGGTACCAGCCACTGGCTTCATCCCTTCAGCCACAGACGTCCATGGACGGACCATGGAGATTGTGGTTCTCCACAGGCTGTGAGGCGACTTCAGGGGACATTTTGCAACAGGTGGAGCCAGTCTTGGTTTCACAGCTGGAGGATGTTATGTGCCGAGGCTGAGCATCTGGGCCCAGCTGTTAGCCCTGCACATGCTGGTGGCAGTCACACCTGGAACCTGCTGAGACCACAGCTTTCCAACTGCAGGAACCTGCTGGGTCAGAACATGGCTGCCACCAAGGGCCAGCCTTGCCAGGCATCCCTCTGACGTGATCCAAGTGGCAACCTCCAGCTCTATCTAGCCTACTTGTCTTCATTGACTTGGGTGTGTCCAGATCTGACCATTTCAACCACACTTGTCTTGAGATATCCCTGGCCTCCTTCTTTGTTTCTTCCTTTGTTTCTTTTTTCTTTGTTTCTTTCTTCCTTCCTTCATCCCTCCCTTCTTCCTTCCTTCCTTCCTTCCTTCCTTCCTTCCTTCCTTCCTTCCTTCCTTCCTTCCTTCCTCTCTTTCTTTCCTTTTCTTTCCTGGCTTTTCGAGACAAGGTTTCTTTTGCGTATCCCTGGCTGTCCTGGAACTCTCTTTGTAGACCAGGCTGGCTCTGAACTCACAGTGAGCTGCCTGCCTCTGCCTCCCGAGTGCTGGGATTAAAGGTGTGCACCACCACTGCCCAGCACGGCTGCCCGTTTGCCATATTCCCTCCCCATACGCTGCCATTGCCCAAGATGGGTTGAAGGCCCCACTGCTGGCTTTGTCCCTGAGCCGCTGACTGACACTCTGGCCATCTGCTTTGTGTCTCACTGGACACCACTTGCACCTCTCTATCCAGACAGGGCTCAGGGTCCCTACCTCCTGGGGCACTGAACCTGAGAGCTAGAAAGTGACTTTCAGTCTATCTGTGTTCTCAGCAGAAACCCGATCAGCCCCTATTTCTTCCTCCCCTTTGCCCCCAAACCCTGGCCCCCAATGTAGGACAGTCCTTGAAGTCCTTCCAGGAAGGCATTCTTTTTCCCTTCAGATAAGGTCACGTAGCCCAGGATAGCCCGGGATTACAGATGTGCTTCTCCATGACCAGCCCATCCAAGGCCACTGAAACTCCGATAGTGACCTGTTTGAAGTCCCCATGGCTTTGGCTGTGGTCTGGGTCCAGTTCTACCCCTCCACCCCCAACCCCCACCTAGCAGACCAGGTGTTGCTGGCTGTCTCCTGCTACCCGACCTGAACCCTCTGCTGTGTCTTACAGATGACCCGGGGCAGCTCTTGTCACCTAACTGGTTCTCTGCGTCTCTCCCTCATTCCACTCTTTGCCTCCCCTTTGTGTGGGTGTGCCAACGAAGGGGTAAGGCGGCTTACCCAGTCTGTGGGCACCTGAGTGTGTTTCTGAGAGCTGTGATCCAATATTCCCTAGGGATGATGAAGCAGGGGTGTTTGCTCCCCGTGGGAGGTAGATAATAGTTCCTGAAAACAACACCTCCTAACTCCTGGGGCCTGTGAAAGGAACCCCGTGATGAAGTTAAGGATCTCGGCAAAATGGTTGTCCAGGTGGCTTGAGTCATGTATGTCCTCATAAGAGAGAGGCAGGTGTGCCGAGGATGGGGCTCAGGCCTAGGGCACTTGCTGAGCATGCCTGAGGCTCCGGGTTCCGTTCCCAGCACTGTGGTGGGTGGGGGTGAGGGTGGGCCTGACAGGACAGACAGTAAATGTGTTCTGAGATGAAGGTCACATAAGGACAGAGGCAGAGAATGGAGTGATGAGACTATGAGCCAGGGGTTGCTGGCTACCTGAAGCTGGAGAGGACACTAGCCCCACCCTCCAAAGGAACCAGGCACTTCCTAACTCAGCTGTCGGCAGTGCGTCTCTTCTTTTCCTCTCTCTCTTTCTTCTTTTTTTTTTTTTTTTTTAATTTTGAGACAAGGTTTTGCTCTATAGCTCTGACTAAAATAGAACTTTTTTGTGTAGACCCAGCTGTTCTCAAACTCCTGCCTCAAGTGTTCGAGTACTGGAATTATAGGTGTGAGCTACCACGCTTGGTTTGGTTGTGGATTTCTGTCTCCAGCGTTGTGAGAGAACATAGCTCTGTGCTCTCGGCCACTTTGGGACATTTGTCCCTGCCGCCCTGCACAGGACAGGACACACGCTAATGACTTGATTTCACACTCTGACCATTGCTGTCGGGATGACGGCTGTGCCTGTGCGGGCTCCTCTCTGGCTCAGTTTTCCTTAAGCTGCGTCTCTACTGAGTTAGGATCCACACAGCCTGCAGCCTACACGCTGGGAAGCTGCACAGCCTGGGACAGGAAGTCATCCCTGGGACCCTCTGCTGC